TCACGGCGTGGCTTTGATATAGGCCGAGGCTTAGGCGGCAGTGCGGTCAAAGCAACTACCAGTCTGAACTATAAAGCAGATTAGTTTCTGACTTACTCATGTGGACTTAATTGCGAATTAATTTGTCTGCTCCATTATGACTAATCCGTGTGGCTATGACGGATTACCGTTATGAACGGTGACATATGATACGAGGTTCTTCTGGCCTCAGACCTACTAGGCGCTGCGAATGACATCGAAACTTACGAAATAAATCAACCATGCTCTTTATTTTGAAGAAGGCACGTGATACACGAGTCGAAGCGTTTCTGCTGGTCGATCATCAGGTTCATCATATTTTGCGTTGCGTATTAATAAACCGTGAAATGTTTATGGAATGTTTCATAAATACGTAAATATCTTCATACTTATTGTTTTTCAGCATGCCCTACGGGGATAGTATAATACATGTACACATGACTACTTACCTGCTTACTCTGATATGAGCTTAAGAAGCTCGTTTATTCAAGATAGATAGAAATATGTATTTCCTATCTATTTGCGCCATAAGGGTATATGCGTTTTTCTTATAGTGCAACATGTAGATTAGAAATACAGACGTAAAGCGTTCGATAACTGGTTATTCAATAATTGTTAATGGATGTAGTTCTGTTAGGCTTGATACGTTTAGTTTCCGCCTTTTATTTGTATTTGTTCATTCTGTCGTAGTGATCACAGGTGCTGCCAGTTAAGAGCGTAGGAACATTATTATTTGCCAAATAGGCTATGTATCAATAAAGTAGCCACTCTGCATCTGCTAAGTTTGTTCTACACCGTCCTTGTGCATATTTACATATTCGACTGCAGTGTGACCGCGGTAACGTGTTAAAAAAGCCTGCGGGTATTTGGTTTCATTTATTTTTCATTATACAAAGACTGTTCTTGATTGTTGGTTGTATGTTGCTGCTTGTTTTTAAGAATGAAGAATTTCAGTAGCGTTCGTCTTGAGATTTATTGACAGGTCGCGATTGATTATGATAATGCGGCTTGTTTTCTCTGTGTATCCTTCACTAGTTGATATTCGAATAATGGTTTTAGGTCCATTCATTGTAGATGCTGTGATACCAGTATATAAGGCTTTAAGTTGTCGATTTGGCCTGTAAAGGCAAAGGCGTGGCGTAGCTACGTGAAGCGAAGTAGTTCATCTGGATGCAGTGATGACCCGGATTTTTTTTAACAGATTTGCAATCAAAGCCGCTTTCTCATTTAAAGCAGTTTGCACTTATTTTTGCTGAGATTAGTTATTTGCTCAGTGGGTGTAAAATTTAACTCAAGAGCCTCATCTGCTAAACGGTTCCTCAGAGAGAGATAAATTAACTGTGTGATCATGAAAAGACCTCCACCGAACATATTCGGTAGAACCTATTACGTTCTTCCTTCATGTCGTTGTTGTCTATCCGCCTGCGTAAGCGATTCGCGAAGCGGTTTCTCGAGTTTTTCACTTGTCGAAAATGGATACGGCTGCCGGACTGTGACAACGTCGAAAATCCGACCTGATTTCGTTCTGTTTACTGCTTGTGTATCGACTTTCCGCTTGTAGATATTTTTGTGTCGAAGAACTGAATCATGCGGAAAGTCTGTGATGCGGTAGTCGGCTTGGATTCTGCAGAATGAAGTATGCGAGAAAATGAATTATTCGAATGGAATTGATTTTGTTAATTTCCGTAATTACGCATTCATTAGCTATTTAATTAGTTATCTGTTTTTTCAGAAGACGTTAGTTCTTCCCTGTCTTAGTGTTGTTCTGCGTTTGTGGCTGTGTTGTATTTTGTGTATACCATTATACAGTATGACTGCTGGAACTGGTTTCACGAAATCCTTTCACAGATCTCGAGCAGCGAAATCTAGGCTTTATTTGATTGGTTAAACTTAAAATAAAGGGACTTTCATTGTTGTTCAGCCTCCAGTAAGAGCTGGCAGGTGAGACCGATTACAGTTTCGTGCAGATGTTGTCGATGATCGCAAGGGAAAATCGCATTTCTGCGTCTCCTTTACTTTAGTGGTACGCCTTGAAAACTAAGCATGAAATTTAGTGTAGTTTTGATTTTCAGCTCGATCTTGACAGAAATAAGGTACAAGAATGCTGTTCTTAAGGTCCTTAGGCAAGTGCTCATTGCTTAGAGTTATGAGTAGACGTCTTAGCTGCATGGCAGATCTTGAAATTCGGCCAGAATTGCTTGCGTATTATCAGAGAATTGAAACAAACCTCTTTAAGCAGCCCCCTACCCACAACTCGAAAGAATAGCAGACAGCTCAGAATGCGTGTTTGCAAACAATCTTTAACTGTATTGCGAACAAGCTGGTAGCAATGAGATGTTTTCATGTCTGGCTGTCATAGTTTAGCCGTTCAAAGCGGTCGTGATATTAAATCGTAAATCACAATCAGTCATGGTGTTAGAGTTAAATCTTGTCGTTTCGAACGAGTTCAATTTTTGCAAAACGCGGAAAACACCATGACATCGGTTAAAGAACCACAAGCCTTGCGACTATGGCTTGCAAATGAGCTAGGTTTTGCTTATTCCATTAACCTGCATATTCTTCGACTCATAATCTTGCTATACTAATAGTGTTTGATTCCATTGCTGATAGACTCGTTGCTCGATTTCATAGATTTCGTTCGTTCAAGTTCTGCCTTTTCAGGCCGTGTATTTGACTTCCATGTAAACAAACGACAGACCTGAAAAACGCAAGGCGAGGCGACCAACGCAGCATCTGCTTTCATCCTCAAAATGAAGAGGGAAGAAATGAGTGCAATCGTATGCCTGGTGATCAGTATCCTGTGTACCAAAGGTAAAGTCTCGTCGCAAATCCACCGCGACGGTGGTGGGTATCGATTATTTGTAACAAAATATGACTTGTTCGTTTTTTAAGCGGTCGGCGAGATATCCGACAAAGTATGGGACAAAGCCAATGCCACGTTCAGCTGCTACACGTGTCTGGGAAGGGACTACGAAAATTGCCTGGCGGGTCATGTGACCTGTGCTGGTGCCTGTTGGAAGCTCATCGACGAGCGTACGACGCTCATCAACGTATGGATGTGAACCATGTGATTTAACGATTCCTTGTTTAGGCCATAGTTTGATTGCAAAGGGCTGCACGTCAGCAATGAAGAAAGCCGGTATGTCAGAAGAGATTGACACCGGTGTGAAGCTGCCTTGGACGGACTACTCGGAAACGATTAAGGGCATAGCGCATTTCTGTACCCACGACTTCTGTAATGGCGCCGTTCAAGTGCCTGTGTTTTTTGTCTTAATTTTAGGATGCATTGCCTTTCTTTACATTACGTCGGTGTAGCAGTAAGTTAGTAAGCGGAATCACGAATATTGTCCGATTAATGATTGATTGATTAATTCATCATTTGACGTGTAGACAGGTTTTATGCTTGACCCACAAAACTGCTGAAATGAACATTGGAAGACTGGCGTATCCATGGGGAGTTCAGACTGTACTCTCATGATTGGTCTTGTCTCAGCTTTGGTTCCTCAGTGAGGTGTCGATCGATGATGAGTAGATATAGTTATGTAATTGATTACCCGCCTTCTGTTCATTGCCACGTTTGTGTATTATAATCGAATAAAGTTTTATTCTTAAAAAATGTATTAACCTGCGATGGTATGCGAATCATCTACGATCAATGAATGATCAGAAGGAAATTCTCCTTCAACACGCTCATTAATGATTATTGCACAAAATATGAACTTTATAAGTGAATTTTGAAGCGACTTAGCCAGGTCCCTAGGAAACTTGCAGTTCACAACCACGAAGTGGAGATTTTTTGATCAGCCAGGCCGCGTGCCTTACACAGATTTTCTACCATTAGTACTTGTTTAGATCAGTATCTGGCAGGCATGATGACAGTCGGGAATTTCTCATCTTACTAGTTTCCATTGTGAACTGTAATTTTCCTAGGGGTGTAACTACGCAGTTTCGAAGGTCACTCACGATACTCATTTTTTCTCCACAGAATGGATATGCATTTCTTGTGCATGAACCAGTTTTTGAACTTCTGTCCATTGTACACATCTCTGAAGATAGACGGTAGCCGCCAGAGTAAGGAATCACAGACAGGACGAAATGCACTGAACGGTATTTTCGTTCGCCGCCACGTTTACTCTGAAACATTCGGCTAACTGGACGATTACTGATAATATAAGGACACTGATACCTAGAAGGCAGGTTTAGAGGCATCTTAGATATTACTTCTCAACAAAAGCATGATCAGATGTTTATTCCATGCTGTCTGCTCTCTGAGAGATTGGACAGGCCGAATGTCTCATCCAAAAAACTGCATCATGGGTAATATAAGTAAGAAAAGAATCGCATCCTCGTTTCCTGGGTGATGCGAACATGGGATATGTGCTGAAACGATGTTATCAAAACTCTTATATGCACGTCGTCATTTCTGGGTTCCTATTTTCATAGTTTTCTTTGATGTTCCTCTCTTGGGACCGCCGGATAAGTCGTAGTACATATGCCTCTTTGTGAGGTAGTCTGTTCTTGTTCGACGGTTATTGAACTGCTGACGGTAGCATTGACTTTGGCGCATAAGAAAGATTAATGGCATGACTACGTAAGGAATGGCTATATTCTCTTTCGGGCACATGTGACATGCTTAGATTTGTAGATTATGAGAAAAGGCTATACCCGGAAGAGAAATTGGTTGAAAATAAGCCATTTACTTCAGCCCATGAAATTCTCATATAACAGCAGAAATAATGGAGTCGTCGATTAAGAAGCCGTCTTTCGACATCCCTGACGAAATAAAGACGTCTTGCTTTCCGAGAGGAATATATCTTTCTACGAGGCGGTAACCGAGGCCTTATAGCCAAACTGATAAAAAGCTGCGGATTCAGCAGATATCACAAACCAAACACGTTCTGCTTATGCGAATGGTTTAAAGTGAGGATGTCAACACACACAAGCACACTCTTGATTCTTCTCTAGGCTGCACCGTAATTAGTAATGATGCAAGTTAATTTTGATCGCTGTGCTTTGAAGCTGAATACGCAGCGGTGAATTATCAGTTGGTGGCGCAAGCACAAGCTTTTCACCCACTTTTCCAGAAACGCAGTGTTCTCTTTGTAAAATCGATAAATACATAAGCATCAGGTAACACATTTTAGCTATATGTGAGTTATCCTGTGGGGTGGTGATGGTGGTAATGGTACGGATTCATCGTGGTGTTTGCGAATACTTCCTGAAAGTAAGGCGCTACGGCTGTTACTTGCTTCGATGGTATCGAAGGCCGTGAATGACCTTGGGTAAGTAGCCCGTCTCGGTTGCTGCAGACTC